GGGTTGGTGTAGTTCTTGATTTTTGTAAACCTTTCCCCCTTGCTGTGAAAAATCTTTTTTTGGTGGCTCTTATAACCTGTAGAAAGATGAAAAAGATTGAGGCTTTTATGATTAGTCCCTCTTACACAAAACTTCTTGCAATAATTATATACTTGGAAGGCCCCTGAAGTGTCATGCTGAAGATAACTTGTGCTTTCCAGCTTATTTAGGCTATTATCCTTCCCATTTCTGTCCTCTCTTATTCAGTCCATGACAAAAATATTACATATACTAGATATTAAACATACTTTCTCTTTTTATCATGGGGCTTTGAGGAATGCCTGTCTCAATTTCACCATTGCTAAATGCAGATTATTTGTTTTCAACCATTATCTGGCATGACTTCAATGAGATCTGCAGTCTGAAGACTGATAGCTGCTACAGGGAAGGTCCTACTACTTGGCAAGACCTGAGCATGCTTAGGGAAGGCAGGTGCAGATGCTTTAATTCTGTCTTTGAGATGGATAAAACTGCCTTGGGAGTAGTTTCAACAGCTTGCTAAATATTCCCATATCCAGAGTTCATGTCTCAGCACACTGGCTTGCCTTCTGAATGATATTTCTGTAGAAATCTATGTCTTGCCCCTGTATAAGGCAGATTATTTTAGTTATCCTAGAATCATAAGGACATTGCTCTGAACTTTCCACAGTTTGTATGAATGTATGCAAAATGACCCTAAAGCAGAAAGAAATTGCTTGGCACCACCCGTCTTCCCCTACCTCAAAGCCTAACAATGGCATTGAATAACTGATGCTAGTGCCAGGGTTGACAGGAGCCAAGTGTGTTCTGCACAGTGCACTCCTTTATACAACACCCTTCATATCCCGAGAGCTTTGGATTGACATGCCCTAGATATGGAGGATCATGTCTGCTGATAGTTTTCAGGTGATGATATGATAGTTGGCACATTTTCCCATGAAACTGAAGCTGGATTATTTAAATTCTCTTCCCATTCCTAGGTAATTAGCAAAGTCAATCTGCCATTTGTTTAGAAAATCAGTTTGATGAACCATGGGTCTGAGCTCTTGCTCCATCTGTCCTTAGTCTTCTTCTCATCAGAAAAAGCCATTTACATTAGCTGGGTTTTAGAGGTCTATCTGGAACCTTCTGACTAAACTGAGAGTTATTCTTCAGCCCTCTGTATTCTTGGTATTCCTGCATGACTGGACTCTAGTTGAAATTCATTTTACTGTTTTATGGCAGGCTGAAGGACTCCTTGTCCTGTTAGATTCAAACTGACAGCCTATGGCTCACGTACTCCATGAATAGAGTTTACACTAAGTATACACAAAGTATACAGGGTGGGCTGCATTTATAATGGAGAAGTATTTTTTCCCTGAAAACTTGTGTATTGTATCTCCACATCCTGTAAGACATCCAGAAAACATGGTTTCACCTGTTTGAAAAGTGACGCTGGAAAAATACTCACTGACTTAGTGGGACATCTTACCAACAGGAGATACTGCTAATGTTCCAATTTAACATCTGCACAGTGGCCTGTAAATTCACAAATGACAAATCATGTCTTATTCCCTGTCACACTGACAGCTACAGCATGTCCAAGTTAAATGACAGCATGTTTTCTTTGACCGCTCATTAAATCTGGAACGTGTTTCTCTTTTGCAGAACTGCATAGCCTGAACATGGTTGTATTAGAGACCCTCTGTGAATGATCTCAGTTAAGAGTGATTACTTCAGTAGAGGTGACATGAGACTAACTAGATATTGGGGTGTATTTCTTTTGAAATAATCAACTGATTATTTCTGCCAAAATGCTGAGGCAAGGTTGGGATTTGTGTTGTTTTTTAGCTGTTTCCTATGTAAATAAATGCACCATATCTCAGTGAGGGCTGTAGTAGCTATGAGTCAGTGCAGAAAGTAAACAGTGACTTTTGTAAGAGAAGAAAAGGCAGTCATGGGAATTCAGAATATCCATCTCTTGATTAAAGGAGCAACTGGAGCATAATGGGGAAGGATGATAAACAGAAGAACCCAACTCAACATCTCCTCCATGCAGAGCCAGGAAATGCATTGTCTGCGCAAGATGTGCCCCTGGTGTGTCTGTATTGCTTTGTGCAAAGGCCTCATATTCTTTGTTTGCTGGAAATGAATGAGGCAGATAGCTCACAGCTCAGGGACTATAAGGTTGTCTACATTGCTGTCTTGGTGAGGAGGAGTTTCTGGTGAACTTGGAGAGGAGCTGAGAGGCTGACAGTCTCTGCAGGCTCTGCACAGTCAAGGTGATAGGCGGTTCACTGTGATAGAGAGAAGGAAAAATCACCTCAATTAGAAGATCAGGGAGACTATATCTCTGTTTCTGGTGGTGTCTAAATCAGTTTATTTTAAAAGCTTGCACTCAGTATTTAAAGAAGCCTTATTATTCTAGTTACTCATTATTCTAGTACAGACTTGAAGATCTACCTGTTTAAAAGGATTCAGAAATATTTCAGCTTTTTTTTTTTTTTCCTAGTGGTGCAAAGAAAGGTGCAAAGCCATGCTGAGAGCTCTTCCTCAGCATCCTCCTATTCTGCAGTTGCTCTTCTAGGGCTGGATACAACTTTCTTCATCATGCAGTCATAGGATCATAAAACAGTTAAGGTTGGAATGCATCTTACAGACTATTGAATTTTAACACCTTACCATGGACAGTAACATCTTCCACTAGACCAGATTGCTCAAAACCCCATCCAGCCTGGCCTTGAACACTAGCAGAGAATGGGACATCCAGAACTTCTTTGGGTAACCTGCACCAGTGCCTCAGTGCCCTCTCCCCATATATATTTATCTACCTACTGCTGTCCTTATCTGCCTAGAGGGTAAGAGAATGAAGTTTCAGAAAGAAGTCAAATAATCCTTCTTGTCCTCACTCTAAACCCCACAATGAGCTTTTCCAGTTCATGATTCTGCTTTTCCTACATGTGCTGCCCTTTCAGAATATCAGTGGAGCTCTTGCCTTTAAAAGAGTGTGGTCTGCTCTACTTCAGGTGGAGTCCCCAGCCCTGCAAATATAGGGCACAGATACTTGTTTGGGGAAGATCATACTCTATATTTTTACCTTCTTATTTCTGCCACACAAAGTTAAGTCAGAAGTTTCCATCACTTCTAAGGGAGAGAGTTTTTCAATTGATGTTATCCAGACCCTACTTCCTAGAAGAAAGTTTCCCCATGTATTGGAGGAAAACCACTCACCTGCTGATCTTATAGCAGCAGAGAGGTAAAGGAAGGAGGCATTAGAGTTCAGGGACCAGAGGAACCAGACAACACAAAACTTGCAAGCTGTTATGAAGGGCAGGCTTCTGATGTGTAATGTGGCCAAAAATGAGGGGTTTCAAGGAGAGTGAATTTGTTTGCTAGAGAGATACAAGAATTCATTCCAGTGCTCCGGGGCTATATGTTTTTTGTTAAGCTGTCTGCTGAGGTGAAGGGAACAGTACTGAATTAATTGGGCCAGTTTGTGTGTGGGAGAGCAGCACTAATTAGGACTGTGTGGGGATTGCAAGTATAGATGGCAAATCATATATGTTTAGGGGGCAGAGTCAGTTAGGAACCTGCATTGGAACTGGGGGATTGTCCAGTTATAGGACTCTTTGTTGCTTTGGGGAAATGAAAATGCTTTTTTCAGTTTTTTTTTTTAGATAATAAGGAGGCAGAGCAAGATGAAGTAGATAGAGCAGAAAAAGATTGAAAGGAAACCTAGCCCTAAGTCTTCTCATCTTCTTCCATCTGAAATTTTTTCCTCCTTCCCAGGATTCCTCTGCTTTTTCCACCTTTAGTGCAAAGGTCATTGAAAGTGGCATAAAAGACAGAAAGTGCCTTGCCTTCTTCTCAAATTCATGGGCCAGTGTCCTCCCTTCCATTTCCACACATTAGCATTAACTACATAGGTCTGGTGTGTGTGCTTTTAATGTTCTTTGTGTAAACTTTAGTAGTGTGGAGGGAAGAGCTGCAGATGAGCCACATCAGCAAAGGGTTATCTTCCCCTACTGAAAGACACTCTGAAAAGTTTTACCCCATTCTTGAGATTGCTAATTCACCCATGTCCAAATCAAACCTGTTATGCATATTTGCATGCAGTTTTTGTCTGGGAGACTTGATGTTAGCAAATATAGATTCTGTTTGTAAATGCTCACTCATACATATTTGTTTCTTTGTGTATCTGAACTTTATGACACAATATGTTTTGCAGTGAATTTTGTTTTAATTGGATTAGTATAAATATATTCAGAAGGCCATGTGCCCCATCTAAGGAACACAAGAATTACAATGTTCTTAAGATAATCTGAGGCCTTAGGTTTTGCAATGCAAAATAAACTACATAAAGAGAAGATTGAGGCATTAACATTCTCTCAAAATGAAAGAGAAAAGGAAACACTCATGTAAAATGAGACGCAAGCAACAGCAGGTGTTTTATATTATGCTCTGATAATATTTTTCTCTCAGGTTAAGAACCCTAAATACTGGGCCCTTCAGTTCCTAGGAGATGTATTTGTCAAAACCTCTATACTTTTTAAATCCTGATTTATATGTACATATGCATATTTTTAAAAGAAAAGAGGGAGGGAGGGAGGAAGGAAGGAAGGAAGGAAGGAAGGAAGGAAGGAAGGAAGGAAGGAAGGAAGGAAGGAAGGAAAAAAGGAAAAAAGGAAAAAAGGAAAAAAGGAAAAAAGGAAAAAAGGAAAATTATCAGCCCTTCTCCAAATTTAGTGGGCCATGAGTCTCCCCATGCAGGTGGGCGCATGCTGCTTGCCACTCAGCCCCATCCTGTGGAGGACCTGATGTCTTCCATTTGTTCCCCTCTGCGTTACATTTCCTGAGCTCATTCGCAGCTGTCTCCATTATTCACAGCTCTGACCTGATGAGAGGAAGAAGGAAAACGTGTGTTCTATCTGTGTGTGAACTGTGAGAAGGTTTCAGTGGGGCAGGGAGCTGTGTGGATAGTGACCCTTGCTGTTGCCTTGCAGGAATGTCAGCTCTGCTGGAGAGGAGGCCCGCAGAAGAATGAGGGAGTGTGATGGCCTGACAGATGCATTGCTGTACGTGATCCAGTCTGCTCTGGGGAGCAGTGAAATTGATAGTAAGGTTTGTCCTCTTTGTCTTTTCAGCAGCAAATACAGGTATTCAGGGTACATGGGGACTATAAACAGACCAGTTTTTCTTGATATTCCTTTTTCAATGCATTGTGAGGAATGTCTTAGCAAAGCATAATTTAGCCCATCTCTTCCTTTTTTTTTTCTGCTGAGCTGTTTATTTTCATGTGCTAAGCATTGTATTTGTACCGGTGTAGTGTGCACAGGTAAGCATGTCATCCTCTCTATTGAATTATTGAAGTAGAAAGTATGATACTGGTTTAAGAAGAGAAAATATGTCATATTCCCTGTAAAGTTCCTTACATTGCTCAGCCAGTTTTACCTTAAAATTGATTTTTAGTACCCAGTATGAGAGCTAATGAGAGTGAGGTAGGCTTAGAAGGCAAACAAGCAAAAAAGAATTGGGCAATTAATAGCAGTTTTGCAGTAAAACCAACATTAGTTCTTCTTTGAAGAGGATCAATGAATGCTTTCAATAACAACTGTGTTAAGATGCCTCATTATGTCAACTTTGCTTCTCTTAAAATGCTAGGCTATGAACAAGCTTCTCCAGAGGTGAAAGGCACTCCCTAATTAAAAAGACTCCAAGCATTTACAAATTGAAGATTTGTAATGCATTAAAGTATTTCAGAGAAGAAGAAAAAGGCCAGTTTCTTTTGCTTTCAGTAAATGGTGCTAAATTAATTACAGTTCCTGCTCTAGGGCAACCTTGGTCCATTTGCAAACCCCTAGGAATTGCAGGAGAGCAACCTTTTATGCAGCAAGGTTTTAAAGCCCACTGGGCTTGTATTTCCAAATACTGCTTCACAGAGTTGTCTGGGGACCCCCATGGGTTTATAGATTTGAGAGGAAAAATCTCCAGGAGTCTCTGGCTACCATCTGAATCAAATAGGGGAAATTTGCCTGTGAATTCAGGGGACAGAGAGAGGAATTAAGAGAGGTTCATAGCATGAGGCTGGGCTAACAGCATGGCTTTTTTTTTTTAAAGGAAAAAAAACCACTCAAAGCAGCCAGAAAATCTGACAACACATTACCCTGTAATCAAAGTTCCATTAATAGAAGTTTAGTAGAGGGATGCTCAAAGGACACCAACCCACAAGGCAGGCACAACACCTGGCAGCAGAGTTTTGGGCAAACCTGGCTGTTTCCAGTCCCCAAACACAGGGGTTTTTTGACTTCATTAGCTTCAGAGTAGCTTAAAAGTAGCTAGAGTAGAAAAACTAGTGAACTTGTACCTTAGCCCCTTTATGATGAAACTGAAAACAGAATAAGGAACTCAAGGATCCCTGAAAGTCAAGGAGGAGTGAAGTCTGTCCAGCTGTGTGGTTAGAACCAGCTTTCTTGGCTTGTAGCAGTTCACCTTAATATAGAAGGTGTTGATTGAATTTGAGCCTTGGAAGTTTGCTTATCAGTTTTTATTTTAAGGTAACATTGTCCTTGTGATAGCTCAGCTTATGTTTTCCACAAAATGAGAATTTTAAATGCAAAAACTATGATTTATTAAAAGGAAAATTGAAGTTTAGTATTCTAATCAACAGATGCAAAGCTTTAACTTCAGCATGCTATATCAAAAGTGAATAAAATTCATGTAAAAAAAACCCAAAGAGGTAGCAAAATTTGAAAAATAATTATGGTCACTGTGATGTTTGCAAAGCTTTCAGCTGTGAAAGCTGCACTAAGAACACTTTCTAGACACAGACACACACACATACATATTTCTACATGTGTTTATGTATTTGGCAGAAATTTCAAATCAGTACAAATGTATTGCAAATATGTGACATTTCATCTATGTTAAAAAACACATACATAAGTGTTCTTGTGTAGATGAATCTGAATTTGTTGTCACCTCTGGAGCTTTGTGTCATCACAAAAAACGTGTGCTGAGTGCATACCTGGCAGAAGCTCCTGCCATACATGGAAGGAAATGAAGCCCCATCTGTTTGCCTCACTCTTGAATATGGCAGAGTATGGGAGAGCTGAAAACCTCACAGTCATTCCATTCTGGGTTAATGGAGCAAAAGAGCTGGGATGTAGTTGCTATTGCTTTTTATCTCCATAGAGCATTAGAAACAGTTGAAATAAATATAAATAGATAGAGAATGGCTTTTTTAACCATGCTTTCCTTGTGGGGAGAAAATTAAGCTCATATCCTTCTTATTAGGGATAATCAAACCAAATTGAACCAACTAAATGAGCAGGTTTCACATCTAAACTGAACTTCTTTTAGACTTGGAGAAATTAGGTTGAATTACAAGTGAATTTTCCTCCACTGGGTCTCATCCATTTATGGATTCCTGCTTGCATCTTCTACAGAAGGCACAACCTATTAGGGGGATAAATGGATGAAAGGGAAAGGCTGCACACAAGGTATCTGTTTGCAGCCTGGCTAGAAGCAGTAAAAGCAGCAAGACAGATTTCTAGTCCTACTTCTGGGATTGGAGAAACATCATCTGTTCATGCTACTAGTACTTGTGAAATGGAACTCAGACCAAATTTTATGGCAATTTACATAGAATTTCTGCCAGTAAAAAAGGTTATTTCTGGTTCTAAAAGGACAAAACCCAGGATCTATTACCACTTTCTGTTTGTAGCATTTTCTATTCACTGAGGTGGGAGTTTTCTGACATTTGGAGTGTTCAGGTTCTCTTGATCACTTTTTACCTCGACATCTGTTTCACATGGGGGTCCAGTGTGAAATTCAGAACAACAATAAAAAAACTCCCAGTAAAGTATTGTTCAGATCACTGCTTTGTTACCAGAAAAATTTCTGAGTCTCTGAACCTGTGATTAACTGGGGAGCACTCAGAAATGTGCGCATAAGAATTGTGCTGGGAAAATGCACATTCAAAGATAGATCACATTCCTTCTGCTTCATATTCAGAGTGAGCAAGGGGAGGATTTTAATCTTTCTCTGGTTTTGTTTTCTGTATTTTTCTTTTTGTCATACTTTTCAGACCGTTGAAAACTGTGTGTGCATTTTGAGGAACCTCTCATACAGGCTAGCTGCAGAAACATCTCAGGGACAGCAGATGGGAACAGATGAACTTGATGGATTACTCTGTGGTGATGCCAATGGAAAAGATGCAGAGAGTTCAGGGTGCTGGGGGAAGAAAAAGAAGAAAAAGAAATCACAAGATCAGGTAATGAAACTTATTTGCAGCTGTGTTGTGAGTAGTTGAAGTGCCCATCATTTAAAATATAAATAATTAATGCACTGTATTAGAAATTAAATGCGTGATGCATAATATACAAAACTGTTGTCCTTGTTAATTAGCTGAGAGCTTAAAGTAGAATATGGCTCTGGAGTAATAAAATATGTTTGCTTGAGAAATTGTACATTATGTGGTGCACCTGGAAACTGTAGTCATGGGTACACTGTGAATGCCATAAATACCATAAAATGCTCTTTGAAAGGAAGCCATTCCTAATGAAAAGTGTAATCTGCATATACTTTACACTTCAGTACTTCCACAGAGGCACGTATGTGTAGAAAGGCTTTAATGCAAACAAACATCAGGCTTGTATATATACACTCACTTCCCTCAAAGTTAGTCCTGTACCATGTCTCTACACATTGAAAGAAAACTGTACAGCACTGAATCAAGTAATACAAGTGAATGTTATAAAAGCATTCATATTTTGATATATTTTATGTTGTTACCAAAGAAAAGTTGAAAAGCTAAGCCTTGATTGCTTCCTCAAGTTATTTGACAGGTTATCATTTTGGGTGGGTTGATTGTTAAAGTGTGTTTATCTCTTTTTTTATCCTATTAAGAACTTATAATTTGGGGAATACTAACAGTTGTATTGCAGAGAAAGACACTGTACACACAGCAAATAGCAATAAGAATGGCTACTGATTTATGGGCTTTTTCAGACAGCCTGTGCTGGCAGTAGTAAGTTTTTCACCTCTTCCTACACTTACTCACTTTTTTGCATTGTAGTTTATTTCTGTTTCAGAATGCTCAAAGAAAATATTTATTTGAGTAAGCAATTAAGTGCACAGGGTAATAAATGATGTCAACCAGTACTGAAAATATTCCTGAGTTTCTGAAGCTAAATTGTGTTGATGTTGAAAGGTTCTAGCAGCACTACTAAGCTAAAGCTTGGATACTGAAAAATGCAGCACTTATTACTAGTAAGACTTATTTCACCTACTCTTGTGGTTAAACACCCTATCATCAGATAACTCAAATTTATTATGGCCTTTTGTTGGGATTCCTGTGTTAGGCTACAGTGAGATTAGAAGTGTTGAAGCAAACTAATTTTACCCCATGAAGTAGTCATCATCCCTGTTACTGAATTAACAGTTCTCACACACTGTGCTTGCAGTTATTCAAAGTGCAGGAGCAAAAAATAGCATGTCTGGGTATGAATGCGTCACACTGCAGCTTGGCTTGCTCTCTGCTGCTCTGTTTACTAACACATGCACACACACTCACTAGCTAAAGGCTTTTTAAGTCTTCCTCTTCTCTTTCTTCTGTGACTTTCGGATCTCACAGTCATACTTTTAACTCTGTACTGTTGACTCTTTCACTTTTCCCATGGGGCCTCTCTGTACTGTAATGGTTCCCTTAAAAACATTTTTTTGCTCTTCCAGGCCAAAGAGCTGAGCTCTTTTGGCCAAGTATCTTTACAATGTGCATGCTTTTGCCTGCGCTTGGATATTTTTCGTCTGTTTCTATGCATGCTCGTTATCAGTATGTTGCATGGTAAAGATTTCCTCAGAGCTGTTAGTGTTGGCCTCATGGAACGGTTTTATATAATTTTTAAAGTCTAAAGAACAATAAAACTACACACATATTTTCAAGTTTATGATCACTAGGATTTTCTGTGGCAAGGAAATAAATTTACTCTTTCCAGAACCAATTCTGTTTTGCATAGGACTGCTTTATCTTACAAGTATTAGAAACATTTTTCTAATGGTGTTTTCTCTTTCATCTAGTTCCTTTAAATCCAGGTATCCTTCTTCATCTTGCCATATTCAAGGTCTCACATGTGGATATTATTCAGTTCAGGAATTTTAAGGGGGCCTTGTGAGCCTTCTGCAGGTTATTTTCACCCCATAATCCTCGATTGCTGTTGAACATTCCAAATGATTTGAAGTATATTAACAAGTTAATATATTATCAAGTTAACTAGAGTGCCACCAAAAACAATAGCAGCAAGATCACTGTGCCAGAAACAGCTCTCCCAACTTATCCTCAAAAATGGATAAGAAAAGCAATCTTTTTCATGTAACCACATTTATATTAATAGCCTTAAATAACTTAAACTGTGATAAGGGTAAATTTAACCTTTTTGTCCATTTATTTTGCAAAAATAAGTACAAAAGTATGTTCAGAGGTACTTGTCCAGTGTGGACACAATTGTCCAATTGTGTGAAAAGATCTGCTTCTTTGTCTTCGTGGTTCCTTTAATACTTTGGAGTTTTATCTTTTCAGGTAAAGCCCAGGGCACAGGCACATCTCTGTCAGTTGTGACACCTCAGTACAGAGGAGTAGTGTCTACTCTATTGTTGCTACATTTTATGTCCCCAGAAGATATGTGTTCAGGGGGTAGGGTTTTTTTCCTTTATTGGCAGCCCATGGGGTTTTTGCAAAACAAAATTGCTGTTTCAGTTCTTCTCAGAATATAAGATGTACAAAACAGTGTGGAGGAAAATTGTTCAGATTTAAGTGAATGTAGTTTTGAAATTTTCCTATTACAGTATCCCTGTAACTTAGTTTCTTCATTTTTATGTGTATTTACTTGAATTTCATTGTGCATTTATGAGGTAGTCTTTAATTTTTGGATAAAAGTCTTTGTAAAAAAAATAGTAGCAAAACTATTGTAGTTGCAAAAGAAAAACAGACGTATAATTTTAGACCAAGAATGTGAATGAAGATGCACTTTTCTGTACTTGCAAAAAATTCTTCACAGAACAGGGGACTTTGTTTCTTAAGCCCTGAAACAGGAGCAGATTAATATCAAAGTCACTTTCTCGTGGGTTTTCTCTACAAAGAGAGTACAAGTTCATTTCTTTGGTTTATGATTTATGGAGCAAGTATCCCAATTTTTTCTAAGTTATGTTTCAGGTGTAGTCACATGTAAATTACTTAAAGGAAAGAACAGAACTGAGTGGTAGTATAAAATGTGTCTTCTTTCAAAGGCCTTTCAAGAACAAACTGGAATTTATTTTTTATTAATGATGCCAATCGTCTATCAGTTGTCTATAATGGCAACTTCTGTGCATCTTGGAATCAAGTGAGACATGTGTCTTTGTTCAGATCATAGGTCTAATGACACCTTGCAAATTACTTTACTTAAAGAATTCCCTTAGGATCGCAGGAAACAAGTGTTCTCCACATTCCAGAATAAAAGTGGGAGATGTTAAAAGATCCACAATTGTTTTACTAGAGCTGAGAGAGGTTTCTGAGGCATCTGCTTTGTTGCACAAATTAAATGTTAGAAGATGCTCAAACCTTTTGAAGGTTTGTGATAAAATCTAGGTATAGCACTGGTTTTATTTTTGGAAACACAGAAATCAAAACTTTTGTTAAGGCCTCAGGAAAAAAAAGAGAAGCTCACTTGGCTTCCATCTCAAACCTCTAGGACTGTAATTCTCTGCTGTTTTGTTAGTTTTTCTCTGCTGCTTACCTGTGATCAGCTGGTATGAACACTCACCCCGATAAGCTCTCCAGCCTCAGACCCCTTCATCTCTGACTAGGACCTTGTAGACATCAACCTCTCTGCCTTGTATTGATCACTCTTCAAATGGAAGCTGATTCTTCCACAGCTGAAAATGCTGTTCATGCTGCTGGCATGCTCACTGCTGCCAACAGATTTATTCTTTGAGCTGTGTGAGAAATGAGGGTTATGACAAAAAGCAGTTAGGACAAATCAGGTGTATGGTCCAACTTCACTAAAAAAAAATGCCAGGGAGTTGTCATTAATCCTTATTTGTTTCTTGTTATATAGCCCATTATGTATACATGTGGCACAATTTCATTTCTTTTCCTTTCTTCTCTAAGAGAAACAAGTTGACATCTTGGCTTCATGCTTATCTCGAGTTCCCCATCTGTGATCATTCTTGTCAAACCAGAATCTAGCCCAAAGTCTGTTTTTGATTGGAAGTGACACTTCTGAAATGAGCCTGACCTTCTTTTCCACCTTCTGTCAGGAGCCTTAAGCTATAACAGCAACATTTCAAGTTATATATCATTAAGAATTGACTGGCACACCTCTTTAGCATGCTTGCTAAATGGCCTATAAATTCTTCTATCTATGTGAAATAGAAGGTTTAAGGCAATAATATTTCAAAAAGCATAAGAAATAAACCTGCCAGATAAGTCTTTTCATGTGGTGAGACCACACTTTTACCAAGTGTGCTTCATGCTCTACCAAGCCATACCAAGCTAATAAGCCCAGAAACAGAGAAATGATGACAAATCCTGGTTTAACCAACAGCATGAACTGTGATTAGGGATGAAAAGCTGTGTTGCCAATACATTCTTGCTCAGAAGAAATATTATTTCCACTCGTTCTTCCTCGTGTTGCGCAAGGTGTTTATGTCAGATGTTGAGTAGCAAGAATCGACTGTCCTGAGCAATTCCTTACAGAGCATTTTGGAAAGCATTTCTGCTTTCTTGCTTGCCAACACAGCATCTTGCCAGATACTCTGTGAGACTCTCAGTGTCATGTATGGCCAATTTGTTTTCAAAGTCAAAACTGCAGAGTTATTAAATATAATTTGTATTTGTCAGTTCCTGGAACATACTGCAAAGCCAATTAGCTTCAGCTTTCTGTGGACAGGAGAAGAGCATGCAGCTTTAACTCCATCCCCCTTCATTTGGTAAGGGTCTTTTTTTAAGCAAAGAGAAAATACACAAACTGAATTAATATTTTTTCTTAGCTAATATTAAGCATATTATTAAAAAGTTAAATAAAGGCACTGACAATTATTTTAAGAGTGTAATGTACAATGTAAAGTACAATTTAGATTTATTAATATCTGGAATTAATTATAATGATTCAATACATTTAAATGTTTTGAAAGCATTTCAAACACCTTTCCTGTAATTCTAAATGTTACATCAAACTGGGAAAGGTACCTTTATTTATTCTGCTCTCTCTCCCGCCATGCTACTCTAGTCTCTGTGTCAGTTAACACCTGCATTTATATTCACCACCTTTATTTAGGCCTGGATATCTAAACTGAAGTTTGACTTGATGTAAACAGTGGTATTCCTGCCTGCTTAGTACCAGCTGCATGGATTCTGAAATCAAGCTCTGTGACTTCGTTGTATTTTTTGTTGCTGAATTTCTGGTTTCTACTCTTTGTTTAGCATTGGCCAATTCACCTCTTGGACAAAGCTGTCCAAAAGAGGTTATTGGACTGACATGTCTAGGGAGAGCTGGCAGAGACTGTCACAGCCACTAAGACATGCAGGATGAGATATCAGTGTCTTCTTAAGGGGCCTTTTAATTTAAAAGTCTTTGTTATTTCAGAGATGGTTTTAGTAAGCTCTGTGTAATTGCTCATGTGAATTTTGTCGCTGCTGCTTGAAGGGACATAGCTACAGTGTAATCATACCATCCCAAACGTCTGGGATCATTGGAGAGAGGTCTAGATAGTTTTAGACATTGCTGGGTTTGTTGATTTTTTTTTTCCTAGATTTTTTCAGTAGTGGTATTTTGTACAGACTGGGGTAAAGGAAGTATTCATATGTAACAGATTCAAATCAAGCACTGTTGTTTTGTTATCACAGGAAAACCAATGGTCATGTGATACCAATTTAAAAGCAAACCCCAACAATTTGAGGTTGTTAGTACAAACCCTAAAATCTGCAGAATATACTTCTCTTGCTGAGCTGAAGCCTTCCCAGGCATTTAGTACAATTGCACTATAAATTTGGATTTACTTTCATTAAAATGAGAATGTGGTGGTAGATAATCTATTGTGCAGCACCGGAAAGCATCTCGATAAGTGATCTTTTTCTCCTCTCAGAGTTCCAATTATGAAAATTTGGAAATTTTATTGGAGAACTCTTACTATCAAAATTCTGTTGTTCTTAAAAGATCTTGATATCTGGCTTTTTATTTTTCTAGTTCATCCTTTTTTTGCATCAGTTTCAGGAAATGAGAGATTTGTATCTCACCCACGTAGCAAGCAGTTTGTCAGCTTCAACCACAATATATGTAGGTAATTTCAGCTGAAGGAGGGAAGCCTGGAAGGAATATTTGTTTATGACTTTTTTTTTTATCTTCCTTGGTATAAGCTAGGAAGAGTAATTGCATGTTTTCCTCTTTTTCAGAGGCTCCTACTGCAGCCTCAGTCTATTTCAAATAGACCTTCCTGATCATTCCTGATGGGCAGCAACAGTACAGTAACTCCAGTAATTTACTGGGTAGAAGTGTTTACTGGGTGAGGATGCTGCCACAGCTCATTAATATTTAGCAATGCAAACTACAAAGCAACTTCTGCCATGCCTTAACCACTATTTTAGATATGGACTCTAATACCACTCAGGGAAAAATATCCTTTTCTTTGCTCAGGCAGCTGATGTTTGTGAAATACAAAATAAATGAATGAAGATATCAGGCAAATGTCTTTTGCAATAGCCTCTTTGCTTACCCCTGTCAGTTCTGTGTGCCCTGCAGCAGTTGGGCCACACAGCTTCAGGCACTGGGCTCAGCTACACAGAAGCCACCAGAAGCCACCAAGCCCTACAGTGAAGAGGCTGCCACAGACACAGCAGCCACAGGTGTTGTGGTTTAACCCCAGTCAGCAGCCAAACCCACACAGCCTCACCCAGTGGGAGGAGGTGAAGAACAGTGAAAGAGAGAAGATGTGTGGGTTGAGGTAAAAGCAGTTTAATGGGGAAAGCAAAGGCCCCACAGGGAAGCAAAGCAAAGGAAGGAATTCATTCACCACTTCCCATGGGCAGGCATGAACGTTTCCCATCTTCAGCCATCCCCAGGAAAGCAGAGCTCCACAATGCATAACAGTGATTTGGGTAAACAAACCCCATGTGAATGTTCTCCCTTCCTTCTTCTTCCTCATAGCTTTATATTCTGAGCATGGCACCATGTGGTATAGAATGTCCCTTGGTCAGCTGGAGTCAGCTGTCCTGACTCTGTGCATCCCTATTCTCCTCGCTGGTGGCATGGGATGGGGAGCAGAAAAGGCCATGTTACTCAGTGTGAGTGTCAGTGCTACTCAGCTGTGACTAAAACATCCCTGGGTTATCAACACTGTTTCCAGCACAAATTGAAAACATGGCTCCATACCAACTACTGTGCAGGTAATTACCCAGGCAAGAGCAGCACAGCGTGGTGAGCAGTGCCCCCCTCCCTGTCTAGCCCCTCAGCTGCTCTGGGCACACACACCACATGTGGAGAGCACTGCAGGACATTTTCCAGGGTGACTGAATTTCCTGTGCTTTCCCTGCACATGTATGTGTGGTACCAAAGATTTTCATCATTATTACATGGGCTCTAAGGCATCGCAGCATCTTGGGAAAAAGGTCTTCCCTCTCAGTTGGTGATAAATTAATGTAATCATGCTGAAAGTGAGTTGCAAGGAGGGCAGGGAAATGCAGTAATTTGTTTCTTTTTTTTTTTTTTAATGTTTTCTCATTACTGGGCAGAATGGCAAAACAGCATTAAATATTAATTTATCTGCTAGATCATTTCCAGTGCTTTATATGTACCAGCACAGTATGAACATGTATATGGAGCTCTATTTATATCAGCTGATTTTCAGTAGTCCTTGGGATCATACAAGTGTAAATAGCTGAGCATAAAAAAAACTCATACCCCCACAGAGGTATATATACCCCCTCATATGGGTAGATCTGGTATATTTGATGCATTTCATGTGCTTTGTCCTTGAAATAATATACCCTGTACAAACACTCTTTAGTTGCATAATGCATAATTCGTGCAAGTTGGAATGAGACAAGTGAAGACTTGAACTGGTGCCCTTGGACATCACAAGTCATTCATTAGTGGTCTTACTAAGGTGCAAAACCTAAACCTGCGGTGAAGTCAGATTTGACCTGTAAGATATGTCTCTCATTTGTTTTCAAAAAAATCTGACAGTGTGAATGATTGAATTCTGAGAGTTAAAATAAGAAGCAGGCTTTAATGTATTTTTTATGAGCTGAAAAGAACTCATTTCTAGCAAGGCTGGTGATTTATAAGGAGGAAAAAGAAGAATTGAATCACATGCACTGAAAACAATCTATTGGTTTAAAGGCAGAAATGCATTAAAAATTTCAAAGGCACAGCCCCATAATAGTGTCATTTGAAGGCATTGTTTCTCCAGAAGGCATTTGTCCTCTACTTTCTCAACCACCACTGGGCATTGCTATGCCAGTTCTTTTGAACTATGATAACATTTGTCCAGCATAGTGAGTTTCACACCTGAGCTGCTTTCTGGTAACTGCACATGTGTATGAAATGGTTCCTCTAGCTTTCCACTTTGGTGTTTGTTCTGATTTAATTTAGAAAAGAGTAGCAGGTTTCATTCCTAAAGACATTAATCACACAAAACCTTGAAATTGGGTTAGTTGTTATTAGGGAACACTTGATTGATTGTCCCTCTAAAATATATGTATTTTATTTTTAAAGTTATTGTAAATAAAATGATGGTTGATACTTTCTGAAAACAAGAGGTTCTAGGTCTTTCCCAGTGCAAGGATTACTGTACGCTCACAATAAACCTAGTTAAATTAACTGTTGCAGATTTAAACCGGGAGTTAATTTGACTTATGCTATCAGTTTAGTGGATGTTAATGTTATGGTACAGATTTTCTGTTTATTTAGGCACAGTAACCTCTCACCCAAGGTACTAAAAGTTTACTGTTTATTCTGTTACACAATGTCGACATGTCAGAAGTGTTAGAAAAGGTATTTCTTAAAAAGTTCAGACTTGTTTCTAACAGTTGCTTTAGTGCCATGAATTATTAAAATCTATTTATCTGTACAAAACAAAACAAAATATACAATAAATATATAAGTAGATTTCCATTTAAATTTTTATTGAAAGTGCATTCCACATCTTACTTTTGTTTAAAAGGCAAAAAGAAAGTCTGTGTATTTTCCTTTGAGATGTTTCGTACGTAGGTGCAAGTGTTGTGTGCTCCACTGGAGAGGAGAACCCCTGTCCTCCTGGAATATAGTTATTTCTGGTAAGAGTGGGTTTTTGCAATAACCTACCATTTGTTCAGGTTTAAATATCGCACATTTTGGATATCAGACTTGGGTTGTTTTTCATGGCAATACTCTGCATGTGATGAGAGGAACAGCATGTTTTGTGAGGGCTGATTCTGCCAGTTGCATTGGAGTCTCAGACCACACAGCTGGCTGGCTGGTACCTCCTGCACTCTCATTGTGAGAAGCCAGAAGTTGTGCCATTGAAGAAGACTTGTCACACTTGTGCCTTGCATGGCACAGAGGGCTCATGGCCTTGAATGATTTCGTTTTTCATAGTAGCATTTTGTGCTGTTTTTCTTCTCATGGGAAGACAGACAATGTGGAGAACTGAGACGGATCTGAAAAGAAAATCTCTTCTCCCCATGCAAGTTCTAGATTTGCCTCTTATGAAAATGTTCATTTGCCTTCTGTTCCCATACAAACACAAAAAAAATACATACATTGAAAAGTGTTTTTGTTTTTTCAGCTAGCTAAAACATTGGGATTTCTGCCAATCTTATAGTTTGTCTGTATGGAATGCTGAGTAGGAAATTTGGTTCCTCCATGAAGAATCACATGATGTGCAAAAATTGAGAACATCTGTTTATGGGCAGATGCCTTCACAGATGTTATAGTTTCAACTGAGGCAATTCTCAAATGTATTTCACTGTTCCTTGCTGACAATCTGATTTATGCTTTCCAACAGTGGGATGGCGTAGGACCTCTCCCAGACTGTGCAGAACCACCCAAAGGAATCCAGATGCTGTGGCACCCTTCAATAGTCAAACCCTACCTCACACTTCTTTCTGAGTGCTCAAATCCAGACACGCTGGAGGGGGCAGCGGGGGCACTGCAGAACTTGGCTGCTGGGAGTTGGAAGGTAGGAATATTAACCCAATACATATTTCCTCTTCAGTTCTGTACCTGCAGCTGACAGCAGGCTGGTGATATAAATGTATCTAATTGCTTCTGGTAGTGGAATAACCTTCTGTTCTCATAGAACTATCTGAAGTCAAATCTGAGATAGTATTTCAAGTCCTAGGTACTCCTATCATAGCAAATGTCAGCGTACAGCAGCAAAGATCACATCAGCCAAGTCAAGTACGAAAAATTGCCACTGAAAACCAATATCCAAATATGGAGAATAAGGAGAAGCAATTCTTTATGAACCTGGGTGACAGAGCCATGAAAAATGAGCCAAAAATGCCACCAGTGGTAATCAAATGAATCCATATTGTTTTGTCACTGCAGAAACTGGTTGGCATTGTGTCCCTTAGGAGAAGGCAGGGCAGGGCAGAGCAAGCTATAAATTATGTGACATCAAGTAATCTTAGCATCTACTTTTTTTTTTAAATAAGGCATTATTAAAATAAATTCATAATATGATTAATTATATACAATGAGTCAGGAAATGTGCAATCAAGGCACTCTGTTCCAGCTAATCCTACTTTTCAATTGTATTCAAAAGCACCATTTTTCTTTTACGTATTATTTGCAGTATGTCCAGTGAAAAATTTAAGAAAATGCTTTCAAATTTAGAACAGATCAGTAAAATTCAACATTGAACTTTGCTTACTTTTTAGGGCAACTTTCCTGGTGGTAAACTGGTTTAATTGGCTGAAAGTACTAACTGTGTAATCCTATGGTGTAACTATAATGCATTGATTTTAAATTAACTCTCAGCAGGAATTTTTCTCATTTGCAATGAAAACAGTCATGTACAGGGAAATGCACTGATCAAAGTTATGTCTCAAAAGGTGTCCTGTTGGGTTTTAAGCAGTTGGGCATTCATATGTGATATGTAAATACCAATTTAATTAGGCATTCATTTTGAAATATTATCACTGGCACTAAGAAGTTGTTTTCTTTTTCACATAAAGTTTTATTGGAAGTTGGGTTGGCACACTCACTAGCTCTTCCAAGACATATTATGTTTTTGGGGTTTTTTTTATAATGGTGTTCCACCAGATTTATAGTATGTCATTGACTGTTGCATTCAATGGCATGTAAAATGATTTAACAAAGTATCTGTTCAGTGATTTTTGTCCTATGTAGCACTGTGCCTGAAAATCATTATGGTTTTATTATTCTCATGTTTTAGACTGCTTCAGATGGTGTAATCCTGGCAGCAAAATGTAATAAATGTGTACTATCCATCTGGGAATGGGTGTAGTCCTGGTCCAAATGAGAAAACAATGTATGCATGTTTGCCAGGACTAATGGAAGTGCTAAAATCCAAGTGGTGTCCCTTCTCCCATTTCTAATAAATCTGTATACCTATCATCCTTTAGTTGGCAGAAGTGTACAGTGAGAGGAAGGGAGGCTCTGCAGAGCTCTTTGGCGAGTGCTGGCTTAGAAAAACTGGTTTTGGACTTTAATACTATCTGTGCTGATACCATGGGAAAAGCTGGGTTGTTCTCATATTGCTCTATCTTTCTAAAGATTCACCAATTCTATTACAAGGGATGTGCAGACACAGAATGAATATCCTTAATTTCACATGTCATACTAGCCATTTTTGTGAGGGGAGTAATCCTCTTTGGGGATTACATAAGCATTGATGTTTCCACCTTTTGACCTCTCCTTTCTGCTGCTGCAGTCCAGATATAAAATTACTGAAATAAAAGATAGCAAACTCTTAAAAGAAGAGGTTATTCCTAAGGGAGATTTAAATTTTTTTAGTTCCTCCAACAAATGGTAATTGTATAAAGAATGGATTTTTTTTTTTACTTGAATTCTTTCAAGAACTTTATGATTACTGAAACTTAAAACTGAAAGAGAGAAGAGCAAACTGTATGAAGATAAACAGTGTTGCTATTAATAACAATAGCAGTTGTGGGCTTTTTCCAATTAGCATTATTTTAATACCAGAAGAATCACAGACTATATGAAGCACCCAGCCTACCAGGTGTGCTCACACACTACTGAAGATACAGTCTCTTCTGGAAAAAAATACAATGCAGTTGATACACTTGCACAGTTCTTTCCTAGCTGTTTCACCCTTTTGGTTCCTCTGGTACAAAGCTGTCTAATCCTCTTGGGTGGCCAGGAGGTAATATTTTTAACACAGGCAGTGCTTAGCCGGTGCTATTACAGAGAGAAAGTGAGCAGATAAAAGGAAGCCTGAGTAATTTTTAAAAAATAAAAAGTTATGTAGGGGATTTATATCTACCACTGGAATTAACAGACGATATGTGTCTAAATCCCCTAGACTGCTTTGGAGAATTTCAGGCACAAAAAGAAAGCAGCAGTATGTAGCTTTAAGGATTAATAGCTCAGAAAGGCTGAAAGTTTTCATTATTTCTGGGTGTATAGTTTCTCAGGGATACATACACATAAAATCAACACATGCACATGGTGAAACAGAATCTGTAGGACAATTTTAGCACTGCTTCAGTTGCAGGAATTCCTTCTAAAGCCAAATACTAACATAAAAGAAAAAAGTGGGACACACTTATATTTACAGACAAATTTTCTATGTCAAAATGAAACACTTAGGACTAAAGTCTTGACATATATTACCCATCTGCAAAGTAAAACTTGGGAGTTTTTTATAATGACCAATAAAATATTTGGTCAGTGCAATTATTACTACACCAAGCACAGTCTGTAATAAACCAGAAAAGGAGCATCTTGGTGGCAAATACATTAAGAGATCCAAATGAAGATTTATCAATACAACAGGATACTGATTTTGAGGTATGAGGAAGAATATTTTCAATGTGAAAATTTAACCTGGCATAATTTATGACTTTGGTGTATATTCTGGTTTTGAAAAAGATTGACAGCTTATATCCAAAGCAGAACTTATTTTGGAAGCGAATGTTTCAGATAAACACAGACATTTGTTCATCTCACTGTTCTGCATCAAGATGTCATCACATAAGAAGGACACTGGTATTGGAATCTGAAGGAGAAGAAGCATCTTTGTCATGGAAAATTGCATGCATATCCACACAGAGATATCTTTTTTGTTCATGTGCTTACTTGATGCATCCATGAAAAATAGGATTGGCCCTTCTGGAATAATATCTATGGAGACAGCCAATATGTAAGTCTTTTGGAAAGACTGGACAAATTAACATTTTCCACATCACTGCCAGAGCATCACATTGCCTAAGGTCCAACTGCTGCCCTGCACAGTGACCTCTGACACCAGCCAGAGTCACTGCATGTCCCCCTATAGTATATTCTATAGCCATAACACCCACTCCAAGCACAGTGCTGCTGCCTGACAGCAGTGGGGCAGTTTGTCAGCCCTGGAGCTGCACCCACCCACCACCATCTGCCAAGCTCAGCTGCTACATGGGACTGCAAGGGTTACTGTTTTAAAGAAGTCATTGCTTCCCAAAATATTTTATTCCATCAGATCATAACCACAGTAGTTTCATGATATCCTGAACATCCTGCAGGCAGAAGGAGCAACACATGAAAAGCATGGCCATTGGGTTAGGCTTTGCTTCCTCTCATTGCCTCTCTAAGATTTTTTTTTTCCAAAGAATAGGCTTTTTGCAATTATACTTGATGTGAACTTGAATATTAAAGCTGCTTAGAAATATGAAATAATAAAACTAGGGAAACACTTCCCTCATCAATCTTAGCTGGAGTTTTCCCTGAACAAATAAGGTTTGAGACATGCCTTTAGAAGCAGTGCAAACTCTTTATTTCCCATTAGGTATTAACTTTCACTGGGAGGTCTGTTACTTTTCTTTGCCACTTAATTTGTGTTTAACCAAATTTGTGCAGAAATGTAGAATAAGAAAAAAGGAGACTTTCTGACTCTCCCAGTTGTATTCTGAAGACAATTGCCTGCTGATTAAGAAATCTCTCCCATTATAACTCTTCAAACCAGAAGTTCTTTCTGCAACTTCATATAATTTTTTTTCTTTTAGTGCCTTGGATTGAAAAAATTACATGGTTTAAAATTACAAGAGTGATCCTGTAAAAGATTATCTTTTTATATGTAGTCTGGCATTAGTACTTCTCCTCAGACGGTAAAAATAAAAGTGGCAAGTTCTTTTTAGTTTTCACCTTGGTCAATTGGCTATTAACACATTAAATCTCCTGAGCCTGTAAAAAGTTACATGCAAAATGTCCTCGAGTTAACAATGTCAAGCATCCAAGGTTATGTCCCTTCTGAATAAAATTGCCCTCTCAGGAAGAAAGGAAATATTAGGCTATCTCCTTATTACTGTGTCTTTGTGTGTATCTGACAGCTGAATTCAGGTTGATGTCAGTTTATCTGCCAGACATTACTGCAATATTGCAAGACCTGTTGCTCTGAACTCATAGAATCACGAAGGAGCTCAGGTTGGCAGGGATCTCTGGAGGTCGTCAGGTCCAACCCCCTGCTTAAGCCAGGCCACCCAGAGGCAGTTGCCTGGGGCCGTGTCCAGATGGTTTTCTGAATGTCTCCAAGACTGGAGACTCTGCAACCTCTCTGGGCAACCTGTGCTCGTGTTCAGTCCCCCTCACAAGTGAAGAAGCAATTCCTGCTGTTTTGCAAAAGTCCTGTGTTTCAGTTATTGCCCATTGCCTCTGCTCCTACATAACCTTTGCTGTTACATGCGGTTGTAACACAATGTTGTCAACACAAGTGGCATTTCCTTAGTTTAGTCAAACCCTTAAAAATAAAATCTTCATTCATATGATTCTTAAAAAAAAACTACTATCATGACTTAATAGGCAATACCTATCTTTTAAAACCAGGAAACAAGATTTACTTTATTTCTTCTGGCTTACATTGGAACCAATAGCACACCTGCTCTGGGCCTTGCTTAGTCCCTTCTGTGCGCTCAGTCTTCTGTCTCAGTTACTTTACAGGCTTTATGAACTCCCTCATCTGCTTTAATGACAGGATGGCCAACTTCCTTTTCCACA